CATTTCTATCTAGAGAGCTGTAGAGGGTGCTATACCATTAAGAATAGTAGTCTGAATTGGCTTTAATTTTAAGAATTCCTTTAGGCCAGAGCATCAAAGTTAGTTAATTTTGCTTGGATGTACATCTTTATTTATTTATTTATTTATTTTTACTGTTTTAACTGAAATTAGAATGACTAGTGTTTCATAATTGACATAGTTTATAATGAATATTGATCAATGTACTTGGTCGCAAAATGTGTTTCATCTTCCAGATTCTTCAAATAGAGTCGAAATTATGGTTTCCCTACTTTGTGTTCGTTCCTGTAACAAAGGTTTATTTTCCAACCATCCGCCCCCCTTTTCGGCCCTTCCAAGTTGAGAATTCTGATACGGTGATTGGTAGGCTTTACGGGCAGTGTCTTCATGGGAGTCAGGCACGACCAAGCCATACAGTGGGGCTGTACACTTAGAGAGGGGAGGGCTAGTTCAGAGGGTACTCTCTTTAGCAGAAAGATCGTTAGAACAAAATAGAACTTCAAAACCTGGGCAAACTTGAGAAGTTGTTTTATTAAGCTATGTCTGGCGTTTCTGGCTGGTTAATTTATTATTCAGATAGGAGTTCTGTGAATTCCAGGTTTTACTGTTCCCTAAGTTTTCTGGTTTAATGATGATTTTAGCAAACCTTAAGTAGGATTATCTGATACTACTTCTATCTTAAAGGATTGTTTTTAGAAATCAATTTTTGGTAATTTTGGATTCAGTTTCAGCAGTGCCGAAGAATTTCAGAATTATTTGAACTTGGTCAAGTTAGATAGAGTGGTATATTTTGGAATAAAAGGCAGTAAGTTATCTGTGGTTTTTTTAAAAAAGTTAGATAAGTATCATATCTAAAATATAGGCAACCGTAAAGGATTCTGACCCAAACCTTGCCAGGAATTTCTTCTTGTTTTCTGAAATTGTATTTTAAATATTTATTATGAAGCTTTATTTTATAGTTCTTAAAGCGAAGACCTTCTCCCCTTGCCCCCCCAAAAGTGAAAGGATTTTCCCTTGTCGTGGGCGGAAGGGTTGCTGCCGTTCAAGGTTGTCGTTAAGCCGTGTGCTGTTCTTGTTTGTTTCCCCTCCAACTGCAAAGGCCCCGCCGTCCATGGTCAGCAGTGAGCAGCGCCAGCACGCAGAGCACATATTCTTATCATTCAGGAAGTCCAAGTCACCGTTTGCAGTGTGCAAGCATATATTGGGTAAGTGTTCACTTAAAAAATACTTTTGTGTAACCAGTTCTGATTTATCTACCTTGAACATTAGATATTTTAAATTTCTTTAAAAATAATCGGGTTCGGACAGTTAAAGTTTTTCGTTAATAGTCCACTGAGGTGGCTTTAAAGATATTCAATATGGCCAGATAGAAAACTTTTTTTTAATTTTGATTTTTCTCCCCTAAATATAACATTCAGTAATTTGTTTTATTATTGATCATAACGTGAAGGCTGTTAAGAGAAAAAAATCTAATATTTTAAAAATTACTTTCAAGCATGATATTTGTTATAGAAAATATATCTTATCCCAGTGTTTTAAAATTAAGATTATTTTTGGAGATTTCTACATTTTCTTTCTTTTGTTTTATTCATTTTTTTTAACCACATCGTTTGTACTCAGCTTTCTTAGTGGGTATTAGTTAGTTCTATGTAGTTATCACCGTGTACCCTAAAGTGAAGCATGGATTTTACTCTTGTAAAAAGTGTTTTATGAGTACCTTATATCTGACATATGTACAGAGTGATCTCTTTCCAAAGATGGCATTGTCTAAGCCACACACACACACACACACACACACACACACACACACACGTAGTGTATATATATATTATATTTATGTTATATATAGTCTTCTGCCTCTTACACATTTTTCTGTAATAGCAAAAGAGATTTCAGTGGTTATTTTATAATCCGATGATCATTGGCTGTTTTTCTTAATGGAGCCATTTTTCGTGGCCCATATGTAAGGCTCTGACAGGCTGCGTTTTCCATGACCGCAGAACCAGGTAGTGGAGCACTAGGAACAGAGAGACCTGTTCCTCTCGTGCTCGTGAGTGCCCTGGTGTCGGCGTGGAGCAGCCCGCAGGGAGAGTCGCCCGCCAGCGGTGCTCAGAACGGGCGGCAGGGGCGCTGGCGTGGATGCCGTGCCGCCCTGGCCCTCGGTGCCTGCTGCTCGAGGGCGTCACTGAACCTCCCTGTGCCCGTGTCACCTGTGAGCTGGGAGTCGCGGGGCCGCTTTGCGGAGCGGGTCTGGCTGCCTTGAGGTGCGAGAGCGCTTCATGGACAGTCAGGCACACGTCACTGCCCGTCTCCGCATTCCACACAGCTTTTCAAACTCGTTTGCGAGCAGCTGGCGGCGGCTCCATCCAGTTGGGAGCGGGTCCCCGCGAGGGGACATTGCAGTGACCACCTCCTAATGCCCAACCGGCAAGTTCCCAGTTTTTTCTTCTTCTTTTTTTTTTTTTTTGAGCGGTCAGTTTTTACACTTGGGTGAATTTGTTTCTGGCATTTAAAAAATGTATCTTATGCCCGTGGAGAATATTGTACTCGCGAGCTCAGCATCACTGCTCAGGACGCCGGGGCCGTGCCCACCGTGGGCCTGCGAGGCCGTGGCGCGGAGGCGGCCACCGCGCTGGCCAGGGCCCCGGGCAGCTCAGCCGCCACCCGCGCTGGCTGCGACGCAGCCGCTCTGAGTCGTAAGCATTTCGTCAGAGCGCGTCTGTTTGTGCCACGCTCCTCTTTTACGACGGTGCATTTTTTATGAAGCTTTGTTACGATTTGAACTCGTTTTGGAAAACTCTTGTTTTCCTGTTATAATACCTAAAAGTAGTGTTGTTAGCCCCAGTCATGCTTTCGAAGTCCGTTTGGTTTTGAAGCATTAACTACTTACGGTCACGTGCATGCGTCACGAGCAGAGTCGCGAATGTCCCGCAGAGCCCCGTGTTCCGTTGATGTTCGCGGCTGAACCCCACAGACAGTCTCGTAGCTCCGTACTCAGCCACCAGCACAGAAGGGTCCCTTCCTCTAAGAAGACTTCTCATGCAAGTGGCAGCCAATCGCAATTCAGAATGTCCACGTTCTCATCTGGGGACTGCGTGTCATTTGTGGAGCGCTTGGGTGGGACATTCTCATGAAGGGGAGACTTTCTCTTCCATGCTTCCCTTTCTGGCCTCTTAAAACGCTTCCTCCCGCTTCTGACTTAAGTGCGATTATGTTTCTCATTTTCCCTCGTTTCTTCCTCCTCTTACCCTTTGTTTTCATCTGGCTTTAACTGTCTTGCTCTTTTCCGTGTGCACACGCGCGTGTGCATGTTGCATGCTGCTTGCGCATTCGTCTCTGGCGCTCGGGAGCTCCCTGGGATCGCAGGGTCAGGCGTCCCTCCCACTCCCCTTAGTGGGCCGCTGTCCTCCCGGCGGGCGGCTGGCTGGCCCGCACTTCCGGAGCCAGCGTCGCGGTGTTGTGTCAGGGAGGGATGGGTGTCTTTCACTTCCCATCTCCAGAGTAGCTTCAGCGGAATGAAATGGGGCCTGACTGTCGGGGGTGTGTGTGTGTCTGTCATTCGGCCGACTTTGGGGCCCGTGATGCCTGTGCTTGAAGGTGAGAGAGATGACTGTCATCGCTGACCTCTGGGGCTTACTCCTAGGGTGTTATTTTTCTTTTTAAAGTATTTCGTAATCAGAGCGCAGTGAGTGCTTTTTCTCTCTTGCCATTCTCTTCACTTCACCTTTTGTCTTCATGGCCCTGTGTAGACTCAGATGGCTGACAAGATACAAATGCATTTTTTAACATAATTACTTAGAATGTTACTGCGTGTGGTAGGAAGCGAAAGCATCCTGCTAAAGTGGCCTCAAACAGTTGATCATCCAGACTGCGCCCTGGTCAGCAGGAGACCCTCCCAGAGAGTTACAAATTCTCAGTGTGTTGGGAGCTCCTTGTGTTCATGAAAAAGAGTGGTTTATTAGCTTAAGAAAATTTTTCCAGATTCTTCCATTCTCAGAAGCAGCTTCTTACGGGAAGAGTGATGTAGGGGTCTTCATTCACTACCAGACAGAGGTGACTAAGGAAAAGAGGTACCTCGAAAACTCTGGAGGGTCATTCACTTTCTGTGCAGTCTGTTCCCAGCACAGTTGGAAGTGAGCGTGTTCCCTGCCTCTGGAAAGCCAGAAGGTGCTTGTCCTGGGCGTATGCAGTCAGGCTGGGGGCAGCGCTGCTCAGGGGACGCAGTCAAGGCGCGCAGCAGCTCGCGACCTTGACCCTCCTCTCGCGGTCTCCTGGTGCATCAGCCCCTTCAGCTTTAAGATGCGGGGTTGAAGCAGACGCGCTCCGCAGCTCAGTTTCTACAGTCCTGTGAGTCCCTGAGATTTTGCTTTCTCATTAAAATCCATGGTTAAGGATTTTAGGTTTTTTGTCCTTAAAATTTTTGCTGTTGTAATGTGAAGATATGAAGATTGGCAGGCAACCACCATTTTCTTTTAAAAAGAGATTTCTAGTGAGAGATCATTTGCGTGACCTTTATGGAGCACGGCCATACGTCTCCTTAAGTGATCTAAGCAGGTGGAGCTGGCTTCTGTTTCAGACCTTCTTTGAATAGAACACTTAAATAAGTTTACATTTTTGGAAGCTGTTGCTTTATCTATTGATTATATTTTGAGGTTTCTAAGTTTTGTATTTTGATGATCGTCTCAGAACTCACGTTTGAGATAGCGTGGAATAATAAAACTTAAGGAAAGGTCCAAATTTGTTCCTCTCATTAGTTTTGGTATTTTCAAAACCCCCAGGCAGCCGCCTAACGCAGTAGGAATTTGTGTAGGGCTCCCTTTTTTCTTTTTCTTTTTTTTTATTATTTATTATTATTTATGCCTGCAGCACCCAGTCTTCCTAGGTGGTCTCCCATCCAAGTACTGACCAGGCCCGACCCTGCTTAGCTTCTGAGATCTGACATCGGGCTTATTCAGGGCGGCGTGGCCGTAGACCATGGACCGTGGCTTCACTGGGGCGCGAACCCAGGACCTCCTGCGTGTGAAGCAGATGTGCTCACCACTGCACCATGGAGCCACGTCCAGGCATCCTTTTTCTCACACATTTTTATAGCTAATTGTGTCACGATCAGTCGTAAGATTCTAAGTGCCCCGAGCTCGGCGAGGACAGGGAACGTGTGCCTGGCTGCACGTCACACACCCCGGATAAATCCCGAAGGTCGGCTCGCGCTGGGGTGGGCTGCTCGTGGCTTTCAGAGACGCATGCCTCGTGATCGGGGCAAACGGCCTGCAGGCATGGATTTCACACGATGGGTATTTTTCAGAGCTTCAGAAAATTTCCACTTTTTCCTGACTTTGTTTCGACTCTCTCCCTTTTGCCAATGCTGTCTGGAAACTGAACATAGTGGTGAATCAAAGAAAAATAGAAAATTAATATAGAATACTTTTTACGTATGTTAATTTTCTGTTTTTCCCTCTCCTGATTCAGTTTTGGGTTCAGATGCTATAACTCGATAGTTAAGGTTGGCTCTCTCCAAGTGTAGCTTTGGGATTTACTCAGTTCGATCAGTATTGCAATCAGAAAATTCACAAGAACTTCTCACCTTGTGTAAATGCAACTTTTTTTTTTTAACATTTTGAGAAAAATAACCTAACAGTGATAGTT